CCCTCCCCATCCCTGCCTCCAGGCTGGCTCTTTGGGCCGGTCTGTAGAGGCCCTTAGTTCCCAATAACCAGGAAAACATTTTAATGTGTGTGGTAGACTTGTATTCCAGATATCATGGCAGAAATCACCAGTAGAGTGTTTTTGCCGAAACTGAGGCTCCTTTTCCCATACCATAGCATTGGAACTCAAACTATTCAGCAGCACACACACCCTTTCTGGCTGTTGGCACCCAATCTTTGATCCTGATGAAAGCAAATTCCAAGAGCCCTTTCTTCCTCTACATCACAGGATCACTGCAGGAAGGAAAGAGTCATGAAACCATAAACCCCTCCACTCTGCTTACCATTTGCACCCCTGCCATTTGCCCATTCTGCTACTTCCCATACACTGGGCCCATAAATGATTCATGCATATAATTCAGTATTCAATACAATTCAGTATTTGATACATACATCCTTTCCAATAACCCACACCAACCATGATAGAACTATGCCCGTGGATTCTTACAATGCCACACTGGCTCTCAGAAACCAAGAAATTAGGTGAGAAGCAATGGAATAAAGGCCATTTCACACTGCACAAACATAGCACTATGATTTCACTTTAACTGCTATGGCTGAATCCTATGGAATCCTGGCATTTGTAGTCTGCAGAGACACTAGAGTCTCTGACTGAGATTTCTAAATGTTCCTACCCAAACTGCAAATCCCAGGAGTCTGTAGATCAGAAGCAATGCATTTAAGGTGGAATCATAGTGCTGCATTTGTGTGGTGTAAAAGGACCCTAGATTTTTGTGAGGACTGTGAAAAAGAGAGAAAGAGTTAAAAATTCCCCTCCCATTCCCTGTGGTTCTGAAGTTCCTGCAATTAATGCAAAGTGTCAAAATGTTACTTTTTAAGATTACAAGTCCCAGAATCCCCCAGTTTATGAGCTTCGGGGAGTTGTAGTTCAAACAGTAACTTTTCTGAACTCTGAACTGATGTCACATTCAGTTTAGCCTTCAATGTACAGCCATTGACTTATGCACCTAACCAGATGATGATGATGATGATGATAATAATAATAATAATAATAATAATAATAATAATAATAATAATAATAATAATAATAATATGCTTCATACTTTGTTGTTATTCTGTGACTTCAGGTCGTTTCCAACTCATGTCAACTCTGAGGTGAACCTATCATGGGTTTTTCTTGGTGAGATTTGTTCAGAGGAGGTTTGCAATTGCCTTCCCCTGAGGCTGAGAAAGTGTGACTTGCCCAAGATCACCAAGTGGGTTTACATGGCCAAGCCAGAATTCCAAGCCTGATCTCTCGAGCCATAGTCCAACATTCAAATCACTACACCAAACATCTTTCAAACATGATTCTCACAGTACTTAAAATTACTGGATTTTAACTGTAATATTTTAATTGATGTACGCCGCCCCGATTGCCGAGCAGAAGGGCGGGTTACAAATAAAAATTTATTATTATTATATTATTATAATACAACTAACTAAAAATAATAATACAGTGGCCTCTTGCTGGGATTTGGTTTCAGGACCCCCCGTGGACACCAAAATCTGTGGATGCTCAAGTCCCATTAAATCCAATGCCGCAGTGAAAAAGTGTCCCTTGTATAAAAAAGCAAAATCCAAGGCTTCCTTTTTGGAATTTGCGTATTTTAAAAATATTTTCGAAGCGTGGATGGTTAAATCCGTGGATAAAGAATCCGTGGATACAGAAGGCCAAGTGCAATGATCCATATTATATTGCAAAGACAGATTTGGGCAAAGTTACTGCTTTGGACTACAGCACACATAATCTCCCAGCTACTGCTGAGTACCATATTCTGAGTGCTGTAGTATTTTAAAAAAATAGCAATAGCATTTACATTTCTATAGTGCTTAATAGGGAACTCAGCACTCCTTAAGCAGTTTACAGTCTGTAAGATGGGTACTCATTTTACCGACCTATGAAAGGATGGAAGGCTGAATCAACCTTGGAGCCCTGGGATCAATGCAGTACCAGCATTTGATCATTGTGCCACCAGGGCTCCTATAATATAAGTATTCTAAGCCTTTGTTTGTGTATACACACACACACTGTGCTAAAGCTGAGGCCAAAGTGTCCTATTCAGTGTGTTCTGGCAACAGTGGCTCAGGCTGTAGAAGTGGTTAACTGAACAGCCCACCCTGTCTAACTGCACGGCAGCCTTCGCTCTACAAATATTCATATTGCATTCATAATCCTATACGGACACAGAGTTTCTAAACTGATTTATATCTTGTCTACATATATTGTTGAACGATGCTAAGAGAGCAAAGGGCTGGACACAGGTTTTGTGCTGTTTTTGTTTACCAAAAGCAGGGCTCTGAGCTAGTCATTTTATGGCAGTGCGGTGTGTGCCTTTTTTCATCCTTATCTAGATAGCGGCTGAATATCTTCTTGCTATCTCTTAGGGGATTCAGAAACTCTTACTGGTTTTCTCTGCCTTTGAGTTATTCTTCACTATCTGTAAACTGTTGTGACAGACAGCTGCTAGTTCTTAGCTGATTGAATTTATTGATTTCCTCCTCCTGGATCTTGCAAGTCTTATTTCAAATTTTGTGTCTGCCAATTATGTCTTAGGAGCTATTTGTTATAGCACAAATGAGAGCCATCCCATGCAGGCTGTATATGAATCAAAAATACTGCTCTGACAATACAGATAGAAACTTACACAAGGTTGTTTAATAGGGGTAATTTATTAGTCAGACTGGATCTGAGGAGTCAGAAGATTGAAAATATTGGTTGCAAGAGACAGAGCAGAAGAGAAGAAACAGAAAAGGACGAGAAACCTATTCTCACGGCTGGAAGAACAGAGGCATTTATTTTGCTACATCATCATTCCTTCTAATAGCAAACCCAGGCAATGAATGCCAAAAGGACAGAGCCTGGGAAATATCCTTTTGTTCTTGTTGTGTGACATCATTTCCAACTTATGGAAGGCAAATCTTTGACAGGGTTTTCTGGGGCTGAGAGTATGTAACTTTCCTGAGGTCACCCAGTGGGTTTCCATGTCCAAGCAGGGAATCGAACCCTAGCCTCCAGAATCGTAGTCCAGTGCTCAAACCGCCACACCATGCTGGCCATGTGGACTAAAGGGTTCTGGAAAATGTAGTTCAAAAAAGTAAATTTCACAAGTAAAATGCCTAAGCTAGAAAACCAGATTACACAGTGTCTTCTGCATTCACTGGGCGGAAACCTGTGAAAGTGGGGTAACTACAAATGAAAAAACAACTTTTTGTTTGTTTGTTTGTTTGTTTAAGAGAACACCTCTCTAGGAATCTCTAGGTCCTCCAGCATGACTTCTACCAGATTTGATCATAGAGTTGTGCTGGAGGTCCTAGAGCAGGGGTAGGCAACCTTTCCCTGCTAAGGGCCAAGGGACTTCAACTCCCAGAATCCCAGGAGCTATTGGCCAACATGGGACTATTGGCCAACATGGCTGAGGCTTCTGGGAGCTGAAGTCCCTCGGCCCTTAAAGGGGAAAGGTTGCCTACCCCTGTCCTAGAGATTCCTAGAGTTAATATAATTATCAAATCTCTAAATAATCAAATTCCAAAAGTCAAAGCTGGGCCAACTGTTTAGTAAAAATATGGCTGCCAGGAAACAAGAATTTGATATCAGCTTCAAAACCAAGCTGCATAGCCTCCCTTACAAAAAATAAAACAAAACAGAATCAATAATAATGTCTATAGAAGGTAACAAGTAACCTTTGGAGGGTAGGAAACAGAGTATCACGGTGTGGAGAAAGTAAAGAAGCATATCCTGCTTAGAAGGAACGGTGGAGTGGAACTCTGAACTGAAGTCTTGTTTTTGTGGGTTTTTTGTGCTGTGTGGCCATGTTCTAGAAGAGTTTCTTTCTGACATTTCGCCAGCATCTGTGGCTAGCATCTTCAGAGAAAAAGTCCTGTTTGTTTTTAGAAGGGAAGGTGTACTGCAATTTTTTGTTGCATTTCCCATTGGTATTTATTTATTTTTCATTTTCCAGACAGGCTGACTTCCATAAGAAGGAATAAAGAGCACTACAGGGAATGGGTTCTGCAATATTGAGGCTCTTTACATATGTGATTTCTGTAGCTGCTAAATTAATGCACTTTGATACCACTTTATCTGTCATGGCCCCATCCTATGGAATTCTGGGATTTTTAGTTTGTTGTGGCACCAGAGCTGTCTGACAGAGAAGGCTAAATACTTCACAAACTACAAATCTCAGAATTCCATAGTATTTTGCCATAAAAGTTGAAGCTGTGTCAAGCTGCATTAATTCTACAGCGTAGATACAGTCTGAGTTTTCAAACTCATCCTGATCCAGAGGTTATGACTCCCAATGAGAGCAGCAGTGTGTACTTTTCAGAAATTCCTACTCGCTTTAATGGATAAGAGATTTCTCTACACATCAGTGGGTACATACCTTGAGGCATGTGGAGCCATTGATCATTACGGCTGTTTAAGAAAGGTTGTTTATGATTTATTATTATAGTATTTTGTCATTATTGTGTGCCTTCAAATCATTTCTGAATTATGGCTGCCCTGAGGCAAACCTATCATGGTGTTTTCTTGGGAAGATTTCCTCAGAGAGGGTTTTCCATTGCCTTCCCCTGAGGCTGAGAGCATGTGACCTGCCCAAAGTCAGCCAGTGCATTTCATGACTGAGCGGGGAAATAAACCCTGGTCTCCAGAGTCACAGTCCAGCACTCAAACCTCTATGCATGTTTACCAGTATTGCTTTCCTTTATCATCAGCTTTCTTCCAATGAGTTCAGATGGCTCTTCTGCTTGATTTTCACAAGAACACTTCTGTGAGGTAGGTTGGGCTGAGAAAGAATGCTTGACCCAAAGTCACCCAGTGAATTTTTTTAACTCACATTGGGTACTTGGATCTTGCTCTCCCTGTCCCAGTCCAGTACTGTAACCAAAGTACCACCCCAGCTGCCTTTATACAAGAATTCCATGTTTGTTGCTGTTAACTGTCCTCAGGTCTATCCCAACTCAAGTCGATCCCATGGATGAGACGTCTCCAATTCTCCTTGTCTTCCACTACTCTGCTTAGGTCCTGCATATTCATTCCCATGAACTCCCTGATTGACTCTATCTGTCAGACATGTGGTCTTCCTCTCTTTCTACTTCCCTCTACCTTTGCTAGCATTATTGCTTTTCTGGTGAGTCATACCTTCTCATGATGTGGCAAAAGTATGGCAGCATCAGTTTGATCATCTTGGCTTCCAATAAGATTTCAGGCTTCATCTGTTCACGGACACATTTGTCTTTTTGGCTGTCCATAGCACGTTATCACACGTGGCCGAGAAACTGAAAATAAAGTGGAAATGAGGCATCCCGAAAATAAACGGGAAATAAACCTTGTTTCCGCAAACATCATTACCTTAATTGCGAATTTACAGTAAGTGCATTGAACGTCCACACACAAGAGAAAAAAACCCCGTAAATGTAGTAGAAAAAAGGAATGCTCTCTGGAACTATGGCAACAGCAGGGAAATGCTCCCCAATGTGCATTTGGCAGTCATGGTAAATGCGTAATTATCGTAATTATGTATTTGTATTTCCTCCAGACAAGTGGATTACAAAAGATCGCGTTTCTGTCCACTTTCTGTCCACTTTCTGTCCAGTTTCTGTGCGACGTCGTGTGAAAACACAGGGCAGTAATTCAGTTTCGGCCTGGATTTTGTGTGGATTAACCAGCAGATTTGCCCCCATGTGATAACTTCCATAGTATCATCAGCACTTTTCTCCAGCACTACATCACAAATGAGTTTATTTTCTTTCTGTCTGCTTTCTTTATTGTCCAAGTCTCACATCCATTCATGGTGATGGGGAATACAATGGCTTGGATGATTCTAACATTAGTGCTCAATTTTATGTCTTTACTCTTTAGGATCTTTCTTCACAGTTCCCCTTCCCATTCCTAGTCTTCTTATTTCTTGACTGCAGTCACCATTCTGTTCAGTGTTTGTTCCTAAGTATGGGAACTCTTTCACCATAGTGTGTGTGTGTGTGTGTGATCCATATGTTGACCATTTGCTCAGAATCTAGAAATAATGCCTCCAGAATTTCTAGACTGTGACTCTGGTGGGAGGAGTGGTAGCAGCAATAAGATTATTTTGGGGGAAAACACGTTCTCAAGAATAGCACATCACTGTAAGAGGTGACTGTTCCACAATAGGACAAAGTAAGAGTTTGAGCATTTCGTGCATCAAAAAAGTTAAATATTCCAGTAACTGGCTAGATGATCTATTAGCAAGGTACGTCATATTTCAGGTCGTCATAAATCTTGAAAAAGCAAGCTGTTTAAGATGGTTGAGGGTTAAACCTTGCTCTTTTTATAAGCTCTGAACTTAGAAATAAATTCACAATTTTCATCTTGAATATTCTTTACTGCCCTTTTTGGACTAAATGTTTAGATGCTTTTGAAGGTTCTATTAAGTTTTGAAGGTGCTTATTTGGCCTGTTGAAGATAAAGAAGAGGAAAAGGACAACACTGTGAAAAACTGGTATCAGTGTATTAAATCAAACCTTGATATTTTGAATGGCAGATACCTTGAAAGGGGAATGACAAGCTATTTAAAACTTCATTATATCAGGTGTGTGTGAGAATGTGACAAAGAGAGAGAAAAAGAGAGAGAATATGATACCCAATGTATTGCTCTTATAAGCTTAGAGATTCGTTTTCTTTGTAGTTTAACAGGCTTGAAAATGGTAGCATCTGTTTTCCAGTTCAAAGCAATATACTTCCTTGTTTGGTCACAACAAAGAAGAAAAACAAATGCTCCATATTGAATAAATGGCAATTTCAACTTTTTGAGGTTTTATTCCCTAGCAAACAAAATGAAAACTCTTTAAAGCAGCAACCCAAGGTATATGCAACTTATCATTTCTTCCATTTCCTCCAAAGAATATCTCATATTTATCTTTACAACTACTTCATGAGATAGATTAGACTGAGAGAAAATGATTGTCCCAAGATCATTCAGAGATCTTCATGGCCAAATAGGGATTTCAATCCAGATCTTAGTAGACCAGGAGCTGAACATGAGCCAATGGTGTGATGCGGCAGCTAAAAAAAGCCAGTGCAATTCTAGGCTGCATCAATAGTAGTCTAGTGTCTAGTAGATCAAGGGAAGTACCATTCTATTCTGCTTGTATCAGACCTCACCTGGAATATTGTTCTGAGTACAACAATTCAAGAAGGATGTGGACAAGCTAGAATGTGTCCAGGGGAGGGTGACCAAAATGGTGAAAGGTCTGGAAACTATGCTGCGGCTTAGGGAGCTGTGTATGTTTAGTCTGGAGAAAAGAAGGTTAAGAGGTGACATGATAGCTATGTTCAAATATTTGAAAAGATGTCACATTGACGATGGAGCAAGCTTGTTTTCTGCTGCTCCAGAGATTAGGACGTGGAACAATGGATTCAAAATACAGGAAAAGAGATTCCACCTAAACATTAGGAAGAAATTTCTGATGGTTAGAGCTATTCAAAAACTGAAAATGTTCCCTTGACATGTAGTGGAGTTTTCTTCTTTGGAGGTTTTTAAACAGAATCTGGATGGCCATCTGTTGGGAGTACTTTAATGAAGTATTCCTGTATGGCAGGAGGTTGGACTGGATGGCTGTTGTGGTCTCTTCCAACTGTAGGATTCTGATTGTATGAAGCCTAACCCAACAGTCTGACATGTAGAGGCATAATTAATCCCTTTCAGATAGGCATAGGTATTAATGAGGTATTCATCTTTTAATGCAAAAGCTATAAAAACTGCTTTGGGATTGTTTACCAGTACATCTAAGAGCTTCTCATTAACTGCAGCAAAATTTTAACTGATCAGGGGAGTATCCACAGTACAAAATTATATACAGCTTGATATCACTTCAACTGTGATGGGTCCCACCTACAGAATCCTGGGATTTGTAGTTTAGTGGGAGGGACTCGCACTCTTTTGCAGAGAAGGCTAAAGACCTTGTAAAGCTTACAAATCCCAGGATTCCATAGAATGGAGCTACAGCACTAAGGACCTTATCACACGGGGTCTAAAGCAGAGTTAATCCAAAGG